CAGACGGAATAGACTCACCCGCATGGGAGGGGGGGGGGGAGTCTTCGCATAAGGGTTCATGAATTGATTGTAACAAAAGGTTTGGAGGCCAGAAAATGCAGGAACCCAGCGAATCTTTGCTTCATATTGCGTCAAAGCGTTTCTGTTCGTCTGTAGATGTGTTCGTGTTTATATGAAGGTATATGTGGATGTCGGTGCGTGCGTTTTTACCGGATACTCGTAACTCCTATTCCCCTTGACCTAAAGCGTCATGCTTGGTGCATGTGCAGGTGTCAGAGTGGGAACTTCGATGTTATATGGCGGACTAGACTCTCTGCCTTCGAGAGGCTCGCTTTTTTAAAGCGGCAGCTTCGATTTCGGATGGTGATGCTTAACAAGTGACTGTATGCTACTGAAAGCAAACATATCACCAGTCCTTTATTTACCAGATGGTGGACGAGCTACTGACATCTGTCACAAACAACATTGCTAAAAACCCCCATTCCTTATTGTTTGTGGTCTCTTCCGTTGTGCTCAACCCAGTTAATATTTGGCATCTCATTATTCTGGAACAGATCAGCAATCTTGCAGCAAAAGATACAAGTACGACACCGGTCATGAAGGATTCGCTAGGGAGCCTGCACTTGCTTCTACAATTTCACACCCAGCCGCCTTTGCCTTGTACAAACATATGTATTCAACGGATGCCAACTCCCACATCTCAACATACTTTAGACGTAGCACCCACCTTTTCAACACCTAGTCATAGATAAGCCTTGAATTTTGCCAAACAAAGCGGTGACTGGCTGTCTTCCTAAGGTGTATCTTAAAGGCACAATTCACTATATTTCTGGGTAACCCAGATTATGACGAAAAATGGGAGATAAGATGGAAAATAGTGCGATGGAGGCGAAGTAAGAAAGGATCGGTGTTTCCTGAGTGAAAAGGCTTCGAAACATCGTTGAAAAGGGGGCTGGACGAGAATGAGACCAGAAGAATGAGAAAGGGTGGGGCGATCAGACGAGCTACGCACAGTGCGTCATTGCGTACGTGTGGGTTCTGGTGCAAATAGCTGACTACGGTAAGTAAAAATTCATACACTTATAAGTATAAGTAAACAAGAAATCCTGGTTACAGCAAAAATATGTAGCTCACCTTTTTCAGCCTCTTAGGGTAAAAAAAATTGAAAAAGGGAACGCAGCAGCAAAAAGAATAACGGACGAAAAAAGAATGGGAAAAAAACATCGCCTCATCACTCGGCCATCAGCTCACTGTGTGTGGGTCCTAGAAAGAATGATACTAATCTGCAGTTTCGTCTGACGTGACATTGGTCAAGAGGCAGGAAAGCCACTCAAGCCAGCAAGAGGGCTTCCACTATGCCCTGACCGTCGAGATTTTGGGAGCGAGAGGCTCCCCCAACCACCCACGGGAGGCCACTGAGTATTCCTAAGAGAAGAACGCAGTAACTATTTTTATCGTGAACAGTGCCTTTAAGGTGTGATGCTGCCTCTGCAGCACCTGAGGCGTAAGTATCTCGTGAAGAGCGCTCTTTTACACACGAATCAAAGCCTCCTAAATATTTCACGCTGATCACAAGATGCACAGTAAAGATCGCAGCGAAATTGTTGTGGTGCAGGTATTGCAATTTGAATAGATAGGCCTTTTTATAGAGGAGCAATTTTTGGGGAAAGCATGCTTTTCGACTCTACAGAAGCATAGAAAAATGACTGCCGAATTGAATGCATATGCTACACCGATGGGACCGAGAAAAGACAACTGATCGCAGGCGAGGCGACCGTTTTCACGCTTCAACAGCTGGTCGCACTAGAAACGTCGAAAAGATGAGTGTTATCGGAATGGATCCACTACATGCGCACGGAACAAAACGGCTGCTTGATGATGGCGAGGCACCGTTCTAGAAAAATGGGTAACGGAACTTCTCCCCTATCGCGGCATTCTCCCTTGCGGCATGCGGCAAATGTCACTGCAATTACCGTACTCACCCTGCCTCCCCNAACTTCCATCGCAATCCTGCGATACGCGGCGGGTGCGGCGTTTGCGACGCCGTGACAAGGGAGAAGTTCCCAGACCCTAGAAAAATGGACGAGTTGAGTGCAACAAAAAAGAAATGCAGCCAAAGATATCATGAATACAGTAGAACGTGCAGATATCAAAAAACTTCCTTGGAAATAGAAATAGTGTGTCTTGCGTAAAGCTGTTACTATTTTTAGGCGCAACCTGAGCGGCAAATCCCTGCGCGTTAGATTACATAAAACCCCATACATATATTCCCTATTCACCCTAGCGTTGATCTGCGCTGGCAAACGGGATATAAAGAAGAAGTTCTGCTGTTTTCGTGAACCATCGCCATTTTTCCCAACCTTGTATTACTCTTCGCGAAGAACTACCTTGATCACCCTGCTATCGCTTGCTCAGGCTTCGAAATAGACTAGTTCTTTACCAAAAAAATCTGTGTACTTTCAAACTTAGGGCATAGCTCTGTTAACTGCTCTGTTAACCTTTCCTAGCACAGCGGATCAGCGAGAGCGCTACAGAACTTACATACTTTGCTTCAGAAAAAATGTCCTCAGTCAAGCTACAGACTGATCCGGGCTACCGTCTACGGCTAGATCATCAGATACCGGGGTTCTGCCCTCTTCTGATGGCTTGTTCAGAACTGTCATCGATTGGTTCTACGCACTCCGCTCAGCTCTTACTTGAGATTCACTTTCGACCGACTTCCACTCTCTGCCAGCGGGCGCTGCCAACTCTGCAGTCTTGCAGTCAAGTGCCATCTGTCCCGGAATTCTTGAACCCACTTTGGTTCAAGGAATGGTCAACAATGGTCTCCATTTGAGTGTTTCTATGATGACATTCATGTTAGAAGAAGTTAACAGGCTTACAGTAGTCCTTGATGATCTAAGCCTGACGTTTAGTGCTCTTGCGAAACAGTGTGGTGTACGTATGGTGACTAGAACCCCTCGTACTTGATCATG